CTTAATGCTTGTATGATTCTTATGTGAATTTATATACTACGTATGTAGTCCCAGAGAAACGCGCGCCGAAAAATTTTCGGTCTTGAAACGCTAACTCTACTAAAACTACCGCAGTAATATCACGAGTTAAATTGACTAGCAATTTTAACAAATTTTTTATGCTTATTCGCATCGTCGAAACGATCTTAATAATGATGAATAACATATTAAAATCTGTAAATAATTAATTCTTATTGCAAAAAATATTACCTCGGCCGGTAGTCGAACCCGGATCTCTTGCATACCGTGCGAGCGTTCTTGCCTCGGTAGTCTAAAGGCTTAGGACGCTCGCACGTTAGACCGTTTAAGGCTTTAAAAAAAACTTAGTTTCAGCTTAATTTCCGACTTATAATGTTAAAAATGTACAGACTAAGAAAACTTAGTTTAACTTTTAATTTCCAATGGTATAGATACTACAAAACAATTATACCTACTAACACGACAAATTACGAGTTTTCTTGCAGTTTGCCACTCTTTTAAGGCTGATATTACATTTGTACGACAAATTATTCAAGCATGTTAATTGGTTGTAGATCAAAAAGATCCGAGAACCTTTTTATCCTGCAGCCAATCAACAGGCTTGAAAAGCTTGTCGTAAAACGGATGAATATTAGCCTTTGGCTGGAACGAATATTAGCCTCTATCATACGACAAAGTTTTAAGTTCATTGATTGACTACACCCAAAAAAATATATTCTGCCGTTTAGCATGTTAATGTCAGAGGATTTTCCATTTATATACGACTTCAAGAAAATACTTTAAAAAGTAAAGGAATTTTGTATAATCATAAAGTGCTGGAATTTAAATCGCAATCCTCTTAATACTAAAAGAATGTCTTGCATGTACTGACATGCACGCGTAGCTACGCGGTAGCACGTAAATGACAATCTTCTGCTAACAAATAAGCATTCCGCTAGTATCTTGTACATCCTCTCCCTGATGAAAATAAAAATCAGAGCGTAAGTCAAATGTAATAGGAACAGAAGCTTCTAGAAATAGTAAACGAGAAACTTCTAGAAAGCGAAAATTGAAACAATGAAATGTAAAAGAAATATTTACGCTTTTTTTACATTTTGATGATTCAATTTTCGCCTCCTAGAAGTTTCGTTTACACTTTTGTTACTCTCCCATTACATCCAATTTACGCTCCGATTTTTATTTTCATCAGGGCTTATTTCAAAAGATTATTCGAGTTATTGTAATAGAATTTTCTATAGAAGAATTTATTTTCAATCATAGGCTTATGTCTCAGCAAACGAAAATGGATCGGAAATTTTCAATCCATTCGAATCCGTATTTTAAATCCATAAAAATAAATTGGATTCCATATAAAAAAAATTTTTATATATGTAAAAGTTTAAATAAATTAAAGTAGTAATTACATGAAATTCTATAGTTATTATTTTAAAACTTTTATACAAAAATTACACTAGCTGTATAATAAAGGAAACGTATTAATATAAAATATACATAAAAGTAATTAATTTATTAATTCAAAATCAGAAATTTACATATGTAACTTTTATTGTACATATTTACGTATTCTTTTTATGTCTCTTTTAAGTATTAAATGAAGTAGAATTCATGATATATTGTTACGGTATAATTTTTTTTTAACTCAGCTGAATTAAAACGAAAAATTTCTTATTCATAATTCTGAATAAAATAGCATTTATGATGCATTTTTAAATGAAACAATGGATTTTCTTCTCACAATTTTGAAATAAATAGTATTCACGGTCCATTTTAAGAAAATGGATCATTAAAAAAAACTTTTTTTTATTCAATTGGATCGAAAAACTGCATTTCCTGTTCAGAATTTTGAATTAAACAGTACTCACAATGCGCAGAAATGGTCGATATTATTTTTAAATTAAACTAGATTGAAAAACTGCATTTCCTATTTATAATTTTAAATTGAGCAGTATTCACGATGCACACAAAATACTATAATATTATTTTTAGATTGAAAAGCATCGAAATATATTCCATGCCATTCCTATAAATGCATACATAAAAATGCATTCAAGATTGAGAAGGAATAGACATTTGTTTTATGCAATTCTTATAAATGAATAAAAATGCATTCAGGATTGAAAAGGATTTATTTTAACATTCATAAATCCGTATTTCTGAAAATCTGAATCCATTTTAATCCATTTCAATCCATTCTCGTTTACTCGGGGGGGGGGGGGGAGTATTATAAATACACACGCCTGATTCATGTAAGATTTTTCTGCTTAGAGGAAATGCTAAGAGGAATTTTCCACTTATCGGTAGAATATTTCTTTGGGTGCATAGGATAGAGAGATCCGACAACTTCTCTTTCTTGCAGCCAATCAATAGGCTTGAAATGCTTTGTTGTACGACAAATGTAATATTTGCCTTTTTTATGAGATTCTTTGAGAGTCATCCATTCACTAAATACTAAAAACTAAAATTACCTAGGTGATAAAGTACTTGCACAACGCGTTGAGAATTAGAGAAAAACAATAATTTATATAACGATCAAATATTAAGTTTCTAATATAATGAAACATCATAAGTATAAGTAAATACCTTGTACCTAAACCTAAAAGGTACCGTACCAAAAATATCCAGGTACAGGTACAAGTATCTTGCCTATAAAAATCTAGGTACTTAGGTACAATTAAAGTCTATAAGATACTGTATCAGATACTTTTACCTAGATACGTTCCAACACTGATGTTAAATAAAAATCGACTGATGAAATAAAACACACGAGTGAAAAACACCATATTCAATCAAAGTGGTTCGTTCATATAGTATATAATAATATATTTCTTGTGAATTTATACAATTTCCAGTTCAAATAAAATAATATAACAAAATAATGCAATAATTACAAAAGATGTAATAATAGTAGCAGCATACAAATAGTTTTGAAAAGGATAGTTAAAAGAAATAAAACTAAAAAAAACCGTAGAAATAGAAATACAGCTTATACAAACGGCTTAAAAAAAATTAACTGGTGAATTGCCCAATTTATGTTTGCATGAGCAGTAAATTTGATGGCGTACAATTGACGCAGTCATTACACTTAGAAAAAATTGTTTGGTATTTGACTACAGCACACAATATCATAATAAGATTAAGATTACAGCAAGTAGAAGTCATTTTAGGAAACATCATAATAATATCATTTGATACACTTTTTTATGATGATTTTGTGTAAATTCTTGACATTATAATTTTTAAGCGACTTTCTTGAAATGGCTTCTACTTGATGTCATATTGAACTTATTATTATTTTGCGATCTATCTAGATAATCCCAGATAGCATACAATATATTTATAAAACAGTTACAAAACATTTGTAAGATTTATTTTTAATATTTTGTAAATATTTTTATTGTCTTCGATTGCACAGATCATAAATATTTATCATAAATATGAAATATTTATAATATATATTATGTAAATGCTATGAAAATATATACTTAATAAGACATTATAACCCAAGTAAAAAATATTAATTTATATTTATTATAAATATTAGATAATGTTGAATAAAGTTAAATAATACCTACTAAATATTTACAAATATTTATCATAATATTCTGTGCTGTCTGGGATTACATAATTATGGAATAGGAACTGTATTTTTATAATTACTACTGCTATAGTGTGTTAATAATAATAATTATACGTATTAAAAGTTCTAGCAAAAAAAATATAGTTGGCAAAAATTACTATAAATTATAATTAAGTATGGCAATTAAAATTACTTTTTTTTTAAGAGAGAGAAAGAGAGGGAGTGTGTGCGTACATTCGAAGATAGTTAACTTAATTTTGTCTCTCTACAGAAAGAGTTCATAACGCTAATTAATTCGATGACGACGTCATTGCGTAGAAAACATCCTCGAATCGAGAGAAGCAAACATTATCTGGTGTCATCAAAACGGATGTAAGGAATGACGCTAGGTAACCAAGCTGAAAATTGTTGGTTCGAATTCGCGTTATTCTTCGCGTTTATCTTCGCTGACACTTTAGCAGTCACGTGTGCGCACAGGATGTCTGTGTCGCCACAAGCCTTTAGCTTAATCGTTAAAAAAGATGAGTCAAGCAAAAATTAACTTTATTCCGACAAACAGGAAACGTTCTCCAGGTTCCCCTGGAGTTTCGCGTTTTCAAAGGAAGGGGGAGATTGGGAAAGAGCATTGGGGGATTGCTATAACTAATCACGCGTTTTCGTAAATATATATACAAATACATATATGAACTTTCTATTTCCCGTCACGAGACATTCGGGGAAGTGATGTAAAAGGGGCGAATTGTAAGTCCTACGATGTAAGCATGTAATGCACATAGTTTTGCGTGTTAAAAGACGAACGTAACTTCTGACTAGTTGCGTCACATCTCATCGGTGCACGTAAGAAGCAAATGAGAGATACTTTTTTTATTCTGCAGACGTAACGTCACGAAATAAAAATTCTAACTGATTGATCCCTCTTTTTAAGTTGCGTCACAAGGAAATCACATAATGGCTTAATTAAGGGAAAAATAAATGGGCTGTAATGAAGATTAAGATCGAATCTTAATGATTAAATAATCCTGTATATTAGAAAAGTACTGATAAATGCTAATGTGTACAAAGTCATTTACAAAATATTCAACTTACTTCCGCGTCCATCGGTCGACCGCAGCTTGCAACATCTAAGAGAATTATTAACTATATGGGATAATCGCTCAAAATTACTACCAATTCCGTATTTTTAACTCTTTCTCCTATCTCTCTCATTTCTTCGCTTGAAAACTTTTATTTACAAAGAAATATTAAATCTTTTTTAATTATAATATCGTTATAATATAATAATATGTAATACAATAATATAGGAAATAATAATAATACATTATATTCATTATAATATACCTTTCCTGTCGCTATATATATAATCAATGTTCTAGTTGAATTATTTCTTTTCCATAAATTAATATTTAAGTCGTAAGTATAAAACGACAACTCTATAATTTGTCCATAATGTAAATCTACATAATACAATTACTACATAATCTAATAACTACAAATTGAACTATAAATAGATTGAGCAAAATAGTTTCAAAAAATACAAATAGCAAGTTCAATGTGCCTCTACAAGATGTCTATCCTAAGATGAAAATAGTTAATTAAAGGCACTGACTGCAATCCATCCTGACCACATTCTGACACACCATTATCAAATTTGTAACTTAAAAATAAAATATTCTTAGTAGTCTTTTTTCAAGATTTGGCACTTAATTCTTCCCCCACTTATTCCTAAGTAGAGATAGAACGATGTCTATGTAATCGATAAGAAATTCTTTCTTTCACGTCTTGGAAAAATTTCACTTATACCTACCTAGAAATACAATCGAGCGACTTTTCGATTGCACAAGAGCGATCGGTAGTAATAACGTAACATTCATACTTTGGATATAATGTGTCGTTACTTAACGTAATATCATGGTTGGTTACTCGCTTACAAATCATTATGAGTCCAAATGCAATTACAGAAAGAAAGTTTCGCGACATTGTATATGTTGTATGTATCGGAAATCTTAATCTACATGAGTTCGCTCAATCGTGCGAAACCACGAGTGAATTATGCGTTTCATCGAACGTAAGTGATACATCACCCGCAAAAATTACCGCTTGAATCTTCAATATTCACAATCCGGAAGTAATGCACACAAAAATTTCATCATGCGTTCAAGTCCGCAGACCGTGAACGTCATATTCGTGTCCAAGCTGACTTTCACCAATAAAATTGGCTGCTCGATCTCTTTCCATAAATTATCAAAATTATGCCCTTTAATGAAAAATCGGCGAGAAGGTAGACGATCATTTAATTAATCAAAGCGGAAACGCATTTCTAAAAATATTTACATTCAGAAATTATATTCACTCGGTAAGAACTACTTATTAGGTCTTAAGATTATCACAATACATAGAGTGTTTTCCAATTGTAAAATCACTACACACTTTCGTGAACACGGCGACACAAGTTGTGTTCTAATTATGGTAATCATTGACACATATCCGTATTCAGCCCAAAGGCTTCTAGTCGGTTGTGTAAGCTTGTATTTTTGTGACAATTACATGTTACTAATCACGCTATAAATGAGATTAGAGGATATTGGAAGATAATTGCTTGAATTTTTGCTTCTCATTCAATACAGGCAGAAAGTTACTTTTAACCTAATTCTATCCTTGCCTAAACCGTGTACGACGACACATTTGTTCTAATTAAGTCGTGCACAATGCTGTATTTTATTCCTGTGTACATTTGTGTTAAAATATGTTAAGCAATTGGAAAGCACTCATATAGTCATTGAAACAATTACATAAAGTATATATACAAAAAATGCGCGTCGCAGTCGGATATTTGTTATATCAGTCGTAAAGTACATAATGATTTCTTTGATCAGTCTTTTCATCTTTTAAGGAATTGTATCGATCAATTTTTACATTCATTCATGTTGCCTACCAATCACTTGAACATACCTGTAGGCCCTTTTACAACCGGCCTCATGTATCAACAGACTTTCTTTAACAAGATCAAATTTTTCTTCGTTGAGCGTCAACTTGCTCTCTTTGATCGCATCTATAATGCAGCCGTCCAAAGCATCTTCGTTCAAAGGCTCATAGAAAAAAGTTTCAACTTCGATATTTTTGTTGAGAAAAGCGTTTTCTATTACGGCTGCATCGTGGGGCCGATTTCTTATTCGTATCTCGAGGTCAATTAAATCTTCGAAGTTGAAAATGGCCAATACGGTCACGAAGTGATCCTTATAAATGTCTCGACGGGCCTCTAGAAAGTTTACGAAGTCCATCAAATCACGTTTTTTCAAATTTTCCAGGATTATTAAATTCGGATACAAGAGAGGAAGGTTGATGTCGTTCACGGCTTCCAATGGCGGGAAATACTGGCGAATAGCATACTTTCGCGGGAAATTCCTTCTTATGATATCTACCGTGTATGATTTACCGACGCCTGTGTCACCGAAGAGGACAATCACCTTGAAGGAGGGTACATCACTCTGAAGATATTCACAGAGTTTATGCAAATTGTTGTGACCATAAATCCGCTCCTTCAATTCAACAACGGCATTCGCAAAATCATTGCTATGCTTGCGAGTCTCCTGATTTTCATATAAGTACACCGAGATAAAAGTCACAAGTATCGTAGATAATAATAGTACAAACATAGAACGTTTGCATGTCAAAAAGTTCTTTTTCGCTTTCAGCGGATGTTTAGCTTGAAGATCTTCACGTTCATCGCAGCTATCAGCAGTAGAAATGGCAGAAGAATCAGACGGAGCAATTGAACGGAGATTGTCTGACACATCATCATAATCCTTCCATTTCTTCGTAGGTGTTATGTTGTCTTCATTCACAGGATTTGAGCCCTGTCTCTTCTCAGGTTTTTGTTTCTCAGATTTTATTTTCAATTTTGGGCGTAAACTAGTCTTCTTTGAAAAAATAACAGATTTAATTGTACCAGCCTCTTCTGGTTGATTTGCAGTATATTCCTCTGTTGATTGACTTGCTGATTCAATATGTTCCATATGTTCCAACTGATCTTTCATTGGTGTAGTGTTTCTTATGAACGATCCTTGATTACATTGCATGCTCCAGTTCAGGTTTTCAATACCGTGATTGTAGTGTGGAAAAACCCATGTACTTACACGGTCACTATTAACTTTTAACATCCTATCTTGGAACCTTATGCTGCAAATAATACTTTATTAATTCCGTTCGGCATTACATCTTTAAGTCATATTGATTACATGTGTCATGTTCAAATTGAATTCAGCATTAATTTTATAAATTCGATATGTATTACCACAGCAATAATTGTGTACTATAGGAGAAGTCTCAATGACCTTACCTTGACATATGTTCTCAAAATCTCTAAAACCTATGGCACACAATGCTTGTTTTCCTGCTGGATTGCTAGCTGAATTAGAATCTTATCACCGTATTGGCTA